TTTTGCGGATAAAAACAAAGTTGATTGGCTTAAACATAGGAATATGCGTTCTCCTCAGTCTGTTTCATCAATCTGACATTGGCCTGATTACATATCCGTCCAATGTGGAATTCCAGATTGGACGCGTCCAATTTGAGATGTTACATTGGACTAGGCCAATCTTAGATTGGACGCTAACATATATATTAAACAGTGAGGATATTGTTATTCTACAGTTGTACACATATCAGTCTAACAATGAATGCACCATTAAATGAAATTCAATTTAAAATTAACAATGAGGATAAAATGTTCGATACTATTACCAAGCATAATATTGAGGATAATAAAGTAAGTTAATCTCTTTTTATTTGCTTCTTTTCATTTCTATCTTCTTTATTAGATTGTCTACTCAAGTTTTCTCGATTTACTACCTAAAGAACTTCGAGAAGATGATCCATGTTTAAAAAACCCATCTGAAGAAGAATTAAAAAAAGTAAATCATATAACGATTATTAATTTATATCAATTTCTTTTATTTAGAAAACAAATAAATCACGTCAAGCTCTCGAAGTTCTTGTATCATCTAGAGTACCAACTGGTATACCTATTCAACATAGAGAAAAAAAAACATCTGTTCAATATATTCATTATACACCATCACAACAAGGACCTACTTTTAGTTCTAGTGCTAAACAACGTATTATTCAAATAGTCGAAGTTCAAAAAGATCCTATGGAATCACCTCGATTTAAGTGAGTAAAGAAAATTATATACATCTTATCTATTGATTTCTATTTAATTTAATAGAATTAATAAGAAAATCCCTCGTAGACCTCCAAGTCCTCCAATTCCAATTCTTCATTCACCAAAACGAAAAATTACTATAGAAGAACAAGAAAATTGGAAAATCCCACCATGTATTTCTAATTGGAAAAATACGAAAGTATGATTGGTTTATCTTAGTTACTTTATTTGACAATGAATAAATTCTTTTAGAATAATACAATTCCACTTGATAAACGTTTAGCAACCGATGGTCGTGGTCTTCAAAATACACATATCAATGAAAATTTTGCTAAACTTCCTGAAGCTTTAAACATAGCTGAATTCAAGGTGAGATTTATCTTATGAATTGAAAAAAAATTATATTTCCATTTTTATTTGTTTTTATTTTAGGCTCGTGAAGCAATTAATATGCGAGCTAAAATGGAAAAACAAATAGCTAAGAATCAAAAAGAAGAAAAAGAAGAACAATTACGTGAATTAGCTCGTCGTGCTCGAACAGAACAAGCAGGCATTCGTTCTATTAGTAAATTATTTATTTATCTATTTGAAATAAATGCCTGTTTTTTGTTTTTTCTTTCGATTAGATAAGTATGATGGTCAAAGTGCTGAACGTGATCAAATTCGACAAGAAAGACAAAAAGATCGACAACATGATGTTGCTCTTCAACGAGCTGAAGACGATAAAGAGTAAAAAAAACAAATAAGCTAAAGTAAAATTTTATTCTTTTCTTTTTCCTCTTTTTATTTTAGAAATCGTTCAAAAGAACGTGATATCAGTGAAAAAATTCCATTAGGTATACAAACTACAAGTAATACAAATGTTCAATTTGATCAACGTCTATTTAATATGTCGTCGGTAAGAATTTGTTTTTTTCATTTTCTTTCAATCATTAAATTGCTTTTTTTTTCTATTTGTAGGGTTTGAGTCGTAGTTTGGGTGATGATGAATCTTATAATGTATATGATCAACCTTGGAATTCTTCAACTGCTGTTACTTCTCAAATTTATTAACCAACAAAAACAACAAAAGATAATTTTGATGATAAAAAAAAATTTCTTATATGACTTATATCATTATTATTAGAATTTTTTTTTTCTTTGTCTCGTTTGTCTATACAACATTTTTTCATAGAAATAAAAGTAAAACTTGGGTATATGCTTATGATCATGTGATATAGTTTCGTTGTTTTTATTTTTTTTGATTATGCAAACCATATGTAGACCATAACTTATTGAATATTGAAGTATAACAAAAGTTTGACACAGAGAACGGAAACTTGCAGAAACCACTCGTAATTATAGGCTCTACAAATGCTGAAAGTTTCATGTCAAACGATCATTTCTTTCGTTCTTAAATAAGATTACTTTAATAATAGTCCACGGGTAATTGATTAAAAAAAAAAGTCGATGTGTGTATCTCAGTCGTTTCGAGTTGAGCTAAAATTTCAAATACAGGGTTTGATAGAGCAGCGTCTGCTCTATAAAAATTACTAAGTCATCAAACCGTGCAATCCATCTTAAGGAACTTCCTAGGGACCGAGTTTGTAGTGCTGCTGTTGCTAGTATGCTCCCGAAAGATTTTTTACTAGGTCAATGAAAATTAAAAAGCATATATGAGCGGATGCGCCAAATCATGGGGAACAAGAATATATAATTGGAATTAATTTTCGTCCACAAAATAGTGAAAAAGTGAAGACCACGAAGTTTAATAAATTTTCATTTTTCATCAATTATGCCAATTTCTAGCTAAACTTATATGCCCTATATCTCACTACACGAAAAAATGTCTTCACCAGTCTCTGAATTTATATGTAATGCATGTCAAACGCGTTATCACAAATTGTATAATCATAATGAATTCCTTCATGTTTCGGATTATATGGAAAAAGAATCAAATGGAATTATCGTTCAAATAGACGATAAAGTCAGATTTTCTGATATTGTCTTGTGTACTTCGATTTATATATATATATCTATATCTTAGGTCGCAGACATGAAGAAAACTTTTTTTGTATCCTCTTCTTTGAACATTTTAGTAGCTCTTGATAATCATTATTGATGTTGAAAAATGGTTCCTGTGCTAAGTGGAATAGTGCAAAACGAAGGTAGGCATGGTTCACTATAAAGTATCTTTCTTCATATTGAGGATGGTATGTACTAGACAACATATAGAAAACAGGTCGCCTACAAGCTCTTGACTTTGTAGTTTTTCAGATCTCAGTGATTACTATTGATGCTGAAAAATATCGCTCCGATTCTGAATCAAATAATGGAGAACAAAGGTACACATCATTTGGGCGTATTCTATATTATGACCCCATGCTGGCGGTATTTTAAACTTCTCATAATCAATTTTTCATTTCTAGTTAAAGATGTTTATATAGTTTATTCAGAATTTAGTTCTGCATTGAATGGTATATAAATTATCTATAAAACCAAGTAAATATTCTTCCGAAAATAATTAATTCTGCTTTCCCCTTCTGGTTCTTATAGGTCACTTGGGAACCTATTTTGCTGAGTACCAAAGTAAGATAAAAGTTTGACTGATCAAGTTGAAACTTATATGAATGACTATTAACTCTGAACTCTACAATTGCTGAAAGTTTCATGCAAAATAACCTGTGGCTTTTAACTAAACAAGATGACCATAGAACATCCCCATCCTTTGAATAAATGATAATTAGGCATACATCCTTCCCAAGGAGTGCTAAGTTAGCAGCTAGTTCTAGCATAATGATAATTTTTCTTCTATAGTCATAGTATGTGGGGTTTGGTAAGCACATTTGAGTACCTTATAGAAATAAGCAATATTATAATTGAAAAGGAGGGCCAAATTCCAAAACTAAAACCAAAACCAAAACCCACCAAAAACCCAAAACTTACAAATCCCAAACTCCCAAACCCAAAACTGACTCAAAACTCGAGACTCAAAAGTTTTGGGTTGTTTTTGGTATTGTGAGCAGTAACTTCAGTGATATGTAGAGCGATTATTCGATTTCGATTCGAAATTCGTTGTTCGGATTCTCGGCACGTGTGCTTCGCACCGTATTTCGTATTCGCGTCGAAACTCGAACACCATCTAGTTAATGCGGTGCGAAGCACAGCATTTATTTAGTCGGTCGCGAGTTTACTTTTTTAATGCGGTGCGAAGCACAGCATTTATGTAGTGGGTCGCGAGTTTACTTTCTTTAATGCGGTGCGAAGCACAGCATTTATGTAGTCCTTCGCGAGTTTTCTTTTTTTCTTTCTTACTTGACGTACGCATCGAAAGTAGTCATTTTGTGTCGCGACGATCTCAAGAACGAAAAGTCAGAAAAGTTTCGTTGAAACGTGAAGCGAAAGAATCGACATCGAACGCATGACATCTTTGATCAAATTATCCAAAAGACCCCGAATCTTCTCATAAACTGTCTTCCGAAAAGACGATTTTGAAAAATTTTAGCTTAGAGATAATTAAATGGAAAAGTGAAAGAGAAATTAGGCGCCCTTTTTTTTTCTCTTTCAATAGAAGGCAGCTGTCATGCAGCTGATTATAGATAATGAATCATTGAGATAATTAATCGATCAATAAACAAAGGTTTCTAGAAGTCTGTCGATATGCTTTGGTAGAGTTTCTGTAGTGATGAATTTCATAATGGATGACTTTCATATCGGCTATGGGTTAGATCAGCTGATCGATAAAAATATTTTTTTATTGATTATCCCTAACTCAGAAACATCTTCAATTATCTTTGAAGGTTGACGTAGAATGTGAGAGCAAATTGCGATGATATTTAGAGCGATTATTCGAAATCGATTCGAAATTCGTTTTTTCGAAGATGCGAAAGATTCGTGCTTCGCACCGCATTTCGTATTCGAGTCGAAACTCGAATACCATCTAGTTTATTTAATGTTACACTAATCAATGAACACATTTTAAACGAATGTTCAAAAAAAGATCGATAGTTATATTGTTTAATACAAAACATAAAAGAGTAAACAAAATAATTTCCAATAACTAAAATCGTTTTTGATCATATTCTATAAATTAGCAGCATGTCATTGTTCTATTGAGCATAGGTTTCATGAATCATGATTTTATTAAAGAACAATGTGCAGTTACAATTAATCAAATAAGCTGCAAATAAACTGTAATTACAAGCATAGGGAGTTTGAGTTAAATTGTTCAACCAACTTTTCAATAATAAATAAATGAATAATTATTCTCTAATAGTACAAAAATATTTTGTATTTTATATTTACATATATATATCAACTGTTTATTATCTAAGACGAACTTTTGAAGGTAAAGTCATCGAAAAACAATCACTGACATAGTCGATGACTACTTTCTCTCGAGCCTGTTCTTTTCATTGATGATTATTGATAGTGTTGCTCTGGGAGGCGGCATGTGTAACCATTAGCCCTCACATTGTCGTCATGGCAACATGTTTTTGATCTTAGATGATCATTTACCTCTTGATAAGTTTTAATAAGTAATCTCTAGCATATTTGTCAAAATAGTGACATCTCTTTAGTCTTTACACATATCGCTTCGAATGTAATAGAAACGAAAATGTAAACGTAAGCAAACCTTCAACGCATTAGAAGACTCTACGTAATTAATCGATTTTTCTAAAAGAATTTCTGAAGCTCTTTATGCCATTTTAGTATTTAGCTTATCATAATAATAATATTACTTTCTTCCATAAATTCAAAAAGATTTTACTGATAAAATAGTCTTTTATAATTGAAGAAAACAAAACTTCAGATATAGACATCAGGTTTTGTTCTATTAGTATTTCGTGCGAGTCTAAGAACGAATTTCTTTTCTCGAGAAGACCTAAAGACAGTTTTCGAAACAGATACAAAAGAAAACATAGAATATGTATTGAATTGGTTTTTTTCGATAAGCTTCTCTTTTGAAAGACAACCATATTCATGGATTGTTAACTTAAGACTATTAATTATGTTAGTACTAGACTTCATTGTGAACTAATTCTATTTATATTTAATAAGCCTCTGCATAAATAACTAACTTAAATAAGTTTGACGAAAAGAAATTCATTTTCTTTTTTTCATTTATTTAGTTATTGACAAGGTAAAATGTTTCCAGTGACAGGTTTTATTCTTTAGAGAAAAAGAACAATATTGGACATTGTATCCAAATGTTAGGATACACGTTGCCTATATTGTTCTAAGAACAATTCTTAGTAATGATAGTCACTTTTTTTTTCAGAGGATAATTTCTGTTTCATTCTTGTTTCATGTGATATGAATAAATGAAATAAAATTGTTTACTAACGATATATTGAGCACAAATAAATTGAAACTAAGGTTACATGGCGACACTTCTAAGAAAGATGTGGTTTTTTGGAAGCATCATAATAAACCCATCCTTGTTCCCTCTTTAACTTATGAACAATAAGACAGAATAAAAAAAACTTCAGGTCTTCTAATGTGTCGATGGCTTTAAAAGCTGATATCTGAATAATAGTCATCAGCAAGCTTTCGAAGAACATCAATCTATAGAAATTGATATGTTGAAACATGCGACTCATTCATTAACAAAAAAACCTGTTGATGTGATCAATGGACAATTCCAAAAGGTAAAAACATGGTCCGTGCCGTGTACTAGCTACTCATTGTAAAAAACTGCTTATTACAACTTACCAAGAGGTAAATGATCAACTCTGATCACATACATGTTTCAATGACGAAAAATGTGCAGGCTAGTGTCAACACAAGTCTGCCAGAGCAACACTATTAAACAAACAATATAAATAAAACTAGAAATATTACAGTCATCCTATTTTTAGTCAACTGTGTATAGAAAAAGAAAATTTTGCAAGGCTTGTGTACATAGAGATTATTAAAGCAAACATTCAATACCTAAAAAAATGTCGTCTAATATCAACTATTTATGTAAGTGTTTATTTATTTGTATAGAAGTAGAGACACTATTGTTGATTAATAACATCGTTGAACTGGACATCAGCAAAATTCTTTCACTAAGAAACCATTATTACAAA